TGCTCATACAGTTGCCAAAAAGTTGCACCCTTCCTGCAGTTGGTAATTTTTATTTTGGCATTTTCATCAGCCCAAATAATTAGTTAATTAGATGCACTATCTCCAAAGATAAAGGAAAAGATTTCACCTTGAAAAACAAAATCATACAATTACAGCCTGGAGATTAGAGTCCTCTGCAGTGATATCATTCCCTTTGGCTTTGCACTGACTTGATTGTGCTTTATCTCAACTGATAGCTCACGGCAAGCTTTCACTGAGGTCAGGAGCTGTAAAGACCTCACCATGTACCTATGTGCAAGCGTCCAACAAGTCAGAGGTCGGTTCACGTATCCAGACTCAGCTGCACTAGTACAGCTTGTAATGATCTCTTTAATTTAAGTTTCCTCCTCTAAATTTTGACTGAAGCAATGTCTGACTGGACACTTCCATCATCCAAAGAGGGGATGGCAGCACCACGGACTCCTCACCCAATGCGGGAGATGGGTAGAGCAGAGACAGCAGATGTTGCTAACCAGCAAGTGAGGAGTTTATGCTGAACATCCTTTCTCTTCCTTGTACCATTTTGAAGAAGCCACTTCTGAAATGTTTTTTCCTCAAATCTTACACAGGTTAAAACTGATACCGACTGCAGTGTATGTCTAGCTTTAAGTGTTTCCTGTTTTGAAAGCCTGAATTCTACTTCCAAAGTAGTTTCTTCTTTGCAATGCCTCTGGAGAAACCTGCGTGCTCACAAAGTATTTAAGGGTTGACAACAGCAGTATTTCAGATTTTGAAGGGTCAACATCATTTGAACTAGCTTAATCTCATGGGTCTGTGAAGCTGGGTTAGAAATGCTGCCTAAACAAGTACTCCATCCACCTTGCCTTAGTCCTGGCTGAAATCCAGAGACAAGGAGGAAAGCAGATGGAGGGAAAAAAAGAAACAGTTAATTAAAGGCCAGGTTCTGAGCATCTCTATCTCCTTCACGTCATTACAGCCACATCTATGGAACACACTCAATTTCATTGAAAGTTCCTCCTTTCTTTGCTGTCAGCATCTAAGCTTAGTTGGCCGGCCTTAGGCCCCTCAGAGCCTCATGAGCTTTCCCTTCACTTCATCAATGAGCAGTTTTCTAGGCACGGGTTAAAGAGCCGGATGCTGCTTGCATAAGGAGAGTTACTGCGGAAACATCAATATGCCAGACCATCTGGAGAAGCCGCAATTGGCTCGGTGACCATGTCTCCTGACAGTCCCACCACTTTGTCACACACTCCCCACCACCCTAGTTACTTCTAACATGGGCTGGAGCCCCTCTCCTTGAAGACCCTCAGTAAGGTACACATTGACACTGAACAAGACAGCAGTACCTCAGTGGGATGCCAACAAACTGCATCTGGAATGAAGCTCAGGATACTCAAAACTGAAATGCTCCATGTGTCCCACTTTACAGAAAGACACAAGGCTGAACTAGCAATATTGAGAGAACCAGCATCCACAGGGACCATCATGGCTGATTCTAGCCTTCATTTAGACACCGTAAAGCAGACGGATTCACTGGGGCAAATCAGGAGTCCTCCGCTTAGCAAGGAGGAGGCACATAGATATGCTGCCAAGAGGGAATGTCCCATGACAGCCGCAGAGCAGATGCAGTGAAGGCAAGAACAGGGTTGGAGGGGACATCAGAAACACCAGTGGTCTGTGTGAAGGAGTTAGAAACATGGGAAAAGGAGGCCCGTGGTCATGGCTGAAGGAGGACAAAAGCAGTCTATGTTTTCTTTCCTGGGGCCTGGAGTTCTGGTGGCAGAGGCATTCTCTGAATTCACCAGTCCATAATTTTGTTGTCCATATTTGGAAATATATGGGCCATGTGATCTAATTTAATTTCCCATATTCACATTGTTGAACGAATAATAAGCCTCCTCAGGGTGCACTGAAACACACCCCACACATCCCTGCTGTAAGTACATGACTATAACAGTGAGGTGTCTCCTAAAGCCTGGAGAGTTGGTGTTTCTACCACCGCTCATGTATTTAGACTGACTGTTAAGTTGCGTGTGATTCTACTCATTTTCTGTGGAGGGAATTAGCTTATTGTCCCTCAGAGTAAACACAACATTTACCAGTTATTATACGTGAATTCTGAAATTCAGAACATTTAACAGATTTTGTTCATCTATCTGCAGGAAGCAGAGCTAAAGATTTGTCGCTCAATCAACCTGTCAATATCGAAATGTCTAAAGAGACACTAAATGCACTGTAATTGTTCCTGAAAGTCCTCAGTTGTCCTCAAGCACAATAAAAACCTTTCAGGGAGTGATTCAGCAGCTCACAAACAGTTACCCAGTGCCATCTCATACATCCAAGTAGGGTTTGCAAAACATTCAGGTGGGACTGATAAGAAAGGACACAAAGAGGGTCCCCTGCTTTTCCACAGCAGCAGCAAGAGACCAGATAGGACATGTCAAAGAGCACTAGATGGCTTCATTTAGCAGATAACCGAGCTGTCAGTGTCTGTAGTAACTGGATGGACAGGAATTTTCTATCTATTGGCTTTAATCACGAGGACCAAACCACAGTAGCTGTTTTAGAAGGATGTAGAGATGATCTAAACCTCCAACAACATTCAGTTTGATTGCAAAAAGAGCTTTTAAGGACAGTGCCTAGCAGGCTGCAGCCTTTAGTGGCTCACAAAGCTCTGAGAGCAATGCCAGCATCTTTATGAAGTGCCTCATGGCACAGACACTGTACCTTGTAAAGCTAAAAAACTTGCAGCTCCTGGGCTGCTGCTTTTTTGCAAAGGTCTTTCCAGTACTTAACTTTAATCACTTAAAAAGTGCAAAGTGCAAGTCTAGCATCAACCACTTAATAATAGCATGTCTTGCCCCTTTACTGCCCTCTCCTCTGAATGCTGTTTAAAAGCACTGTCTATAACATCAATATTTAACCACAAGGCTTGCTCGTTCTCACAAGGCTGGGGATTGCTGTACACGTGGGCTAAATCACAGTGCCTAGACAGCTGATAATAATGAAAGCATCTTTCAAGATGAGGCACTTGATTGCTACTCTAAAGCTTACTGGTGAAAGGACTGTGTAATCTTTTTTTTTTTTTATTGCATTTGAAATGAAATAACTTGTTTAGATATTAGTCATCTGGATTTATATAGCTCATTTTTAGAACTGGGTTAGCACCTGGCAATCCAGCCTGAGTAAGCATCAGGCTATCCCAGTCGCAGGCCCATTTGATTTCTCTTTCCTCTTTTTGCAACGTGTGACAGACTTCTTTTTTTCTGGCACGATTTCCTTCCCGCTTCACTGGAGACAAATCCACGCACTCAGACCAGCTGCCTGACGGCAGCCCGGGGAGGGGAAGCAGCCGGGCAGCGGTGCCCTCCTCCCGGCGCAGCTGAGCAGCAGGGCTGGTCCCTGTGCCAACACTGCTTGACACGTCTCGTGTGGGTGAGAGCAGCTCCCTCAGGGTAATGGGGTACCCCAGGTACAAGAAAATGGAGTGGCAAAGTACTTTATTTTCTGACTGTGAGACAAAGATCAAGGGAATTTTCAATATCACTGTCCATGACATTTTCCTGAACATTGAAAGAGATTTTTCCTGCTATAAAAAAACCTTCATCTCTGCTTTCCATGCTGTCTTTGTACTTCCTTTCCCAAGTGTTTCACTGTTGTTTTTTTTCCTGCCTTTGCCTTAAATTTCTGCAGTGTGGCACAAATACAAAGCACGCTCCTGGCAGAAAACACGCTGCAAAATTCTGCCTGTCCTCTGCCTGGCTAAAAGCTGTGCAGAAGCCTTCTTCGTGTCTTCCGCACATCTGGGGATGGCGCTGATAAAGACAAACAGCCAAATGATCCTACCTAATGATTTCTTTTCCCCTGGGGGAAGCACTGGGAAGGATACTAGGTATACTTTGCAACACTGTTCCCAGAGGAATTTATCTAAGCAGGAAGAAGAATTAATAGGCAGCCTTTTAGGGAGAGACAAATTTGCAAAAATATAGACACATTAAGGAGATTTGCTGGAATACCAAACACCTGGGACCTAAAAGTGCCTGTGCAGGGTCCAGCCCATGTCCCTGCACCCAGCCAGCGCAGGTAGTGCCGGTGAGCTCCGTCCCACTGCGGAGGGACTGCCTCTCCGGGGACCACCAGCACAGCTATCGCTCTCCAGAAAGGATCTTGTGCATCAGGGATCACAGGAATAGTGATGTGGAAGGAAGCTGGCAGAGCTAGCCAGCAGGAACTGCAGGCACAAAGTGTGCCGGACATGGGGATGCATGGCTGGAAATCAGGAGGAGCTCGGATGGGCTGGATAAGGCTTGGGAGCACTGATTTGTACGAAGAGAAACACATGAGTCTTAGCCCATTACCGGTTGGACTCAATGATCTCAAAGGTCTTTTCCAACCTTACTGATCCTATGATTCTATGATTAGTGGGAAAACTGCTCACTTGCCATTGACCCCAGACATGCCTCTGACTTTTGTTACAGTTGTAAGCAATTTAAAACCAGCGAGCCTGGCTCACTGCTATGGTAAACCAGTAGAGCTCCAGTGTCTTGAAGACAGCCAAACCTGCAGGATGGTCTAGGCAAAGTGTTTTAATTTTTGCCTGCTTATAAATTAATTTGCCTTGGAGCACGCAGACCTCCAAGCTGCACACCTGGCAAAACAGGAGGTCACATAACTCAAGGGGAAGCACAGCGCTATGTCTCCTTCGGAGAGCATTTCCCAGGGCTAGGGCATTAGGGAACCATTTAAAGCTAGGGAATCATATGTAATACAATGAAAGGAGGGAATTTCTCTGGCTTTCCTCCAAAAGCCAAGCATTATTCATTGATCAGAAAACAGATCTCCATCTCTACTGAGAACATTTTTTCCTCCATTTGCTAAGTGGAAAATGACAAACGAGCTAGCTGTGCCCTCTCCCATGTCCTTTCTCCTTCCGTCTGTCCAGGAGTCCCCATCACTTCACCCCCCCTCAGCGCACCACAACCGTACCAGTGGCTACTTACTCGGCACCACTAGCAACCTCGGGGGCGGTGGAGGTGGAGGAGGCGGTGGTAACGGTGGAGGTGGCCTGCACTGGCAAATTTGCTGGCAGCTCTCTGTGACTTTCTCTGCTACAGGCTTGGAGCATGACTTCTGCGGCTCACCCTGAGTGATCTGTGAAGAAATAAGTCATTGCATGAGCAGCAGAAACAGTGAAAATGGACTTTCCATGAATATGTTTCTTGGACTTGAGTACCCGAACAGCACCTCAGACCTGTAGTGAGAACTGAGCTCCTGTTCCTCACTAAGGCCACTGCAAGGAGGCGTCTTCCCTACATGGTCCCCGTTTTTTATTTTTTTGGTTTTACTTAACGCAGTGTCTTCAAGACCTCTTGCCCTCTGTCAAATTTGTTTGAAATTGGCCAGCTGGTTTCTGAGTTATTATGGGGTAAGGAGAAGGCGGGTAGTGGCAGACAATGATTGCATAAGCCTTCTTCCCTCAGGAAAGCCATCCAGCAGCATGCATTATTCACAGGGCCATTGCTGCAAGCCAAAGAGAGCTAATAAAAATTACAAGACAGTTAGGGTCAGGATTATGTTCATTTTCCTTATGGCAGAACTGAAAGCCAGAGGAGATCTCTCCTCTGCTTTGCCAGCCTTGCTTTCATGTTCAGAGAGCACTTCCCGCCAAGAGGAGAGGGAGCCCACATTGTACTCATCTGCGGACCACAGCAATGACACGGTGAAAATGGAAATGCCACAAACTGTGACTGGTAGCCTCTGTAACATTCAGTGTCGGCTGGTAATAAAGCTGAAGATGAGGCATTGCAGAACCCAAGCGTAGGCATCGCTTGGCCATGGACAATGATTTAGCTAGTACTGGTATACAATATATTCAATAGCTTGATCTAGTCATGACAAGGACCATTTATTAACAGCATATTTTTCTTACCATCAGTAATATTTACATGACTAGGAATTTAAGGAATATTCGTAAAATTCCTAATCTAATGCTACAAAATGAAGAGGAATAAGTCCCTAATTAATGAAAAGGAAACATCACAGAAGCTTCTGAGAGGTGTTAGCTTCAGAGGTCTCTAGGCCAGCTCTTTCTGAATGGACTGATACTCAGATGGAAAATACTGGATACAATTTTAAGGAAACAAAGCCTAGAAGATGAATAAGCATGTTATCTAACAAGCACTTTGAATGTAGGATTAGGAGACCACCTGGGACAGACTTGTGTTTTGCTGAAGCTAAGGATAGCTATGCTACATTCAACTGTTGCCTTGTACAGTTTGGTCTTAGGCGGGTTATTGTCCTAATAGTTTTGGTGTAACCTCTTCTTCTTTAACTAGCTCTTTTCCACGATATGTTGGTCCTTACAAAAAAGGATGTCTCATGCCATGCTTTCTGACCTGTTTTAGGCAGGCCTCTTCTGCCTCCCTGCTTATCCCCAGGGTCACCCAGGGTTGCCTTCTCTCCCTCCTGCCCAAGCTTTGCTTCCCTTCCCCTGCCAGCTCTGGGCACACAGTCTGTCTCCTCTCCCCTTTCAACCCCAGCCCACAGCACAGCCAGCGAGCCTCTCCCACCACCCACAGCTGGGCACCAAGGGTGCTGTGCTGCCTCTTGGCTGCAGGAAAGCTGTACACAGTCATTTCATGTATTTCTGGCCAAAAAGACAGACGTGGCTAATTAAAACATCACTGGACAAAGGACACGTTCACATGCGTAGGAGGTTTCTAAACACAGAAAGATGCATTACTCTGGCCTCAGGGAAATGGAGGTAGGGCTTTGTTGATTAAATATTATAGAGAGGGAGGAAAGAACAGAAAAGGCTACGTGTAGCGGAGTTGGAAGGACAGCTCGGAACAGCACAAGTCAGAAGGCCCAGTTCTTTAAACAGCTTGTCAAAATCTATTACCAAACATAGGGAAAAACAAATTCAGCACAAGCGCTTTCCAACTTTCCCCTTCACCATCAAGTAACAGCAAGTGGTTGGTTAAAGACCATCCCAGACAGCTTCCAGGAACTTACACAAACTCTCTGAATGCTCTAATGAATCAAAGTGACTCGGCTTCATAATCCCTCATGGCTGGTAATAAATCTGTCTGCTAAGCAGGCTTATGTATTTTTCAAGTAAGTGATCACAGGCTGCAGAATATCCTCCATGCCATTTCAGCTCTTCCAACGCTCTTCACACGCTGGGTCGGGGTGTTAGGGACTCTCCCAAGAGGAGCCCCGTAGGAAGAGCGCCCACTCCACGCGGGGGCAGTGGCACACCTGGGGCACCTCCTACTTGTACTGGTGTGACAGCATTTACTGCGCTGACAAAGGAGGTAGGGTAACACCTCTCTGCTGGCCCCGGCAACTGATTAGGAAGCAACTATTAACTCCTAGCTACAATTACCATCCCCTACCTAGTTCCCCGGTTGCTGAATCCTACGGCTCGCTACAGTCTCGCAGGAGCCAGTGCAATGGGAGAGGATAGAGACAGAAGAATAACATTGTGCAGGCTTTGAGCCACCTTCATTTGCAGACCAGAAGCAGCTTTGTGTATATAAGTCTGAAGATGGTGCTGGTATGGAAAAGCTACACTGACTTATTGCTCTAACTTAGTATCAACCAGAACCAAAGGCTTGCTCTGTCTTTTTTTAGAACTATTGACTGCTTTTAAATCCCTGGAGGCTCTCCTACCTCAGGCTGGTAATGGAGTGTCCTCAGAAACCAGTGAATATTTTTCTTAATTACTTTGCAGACAAGATTAACCCTATACATGCCCAGCCACTCCCTTCTTCTGGGTACTTTTAAAATATTATTTCTGAAATTAAAAAAAAAGTTGCTTTGTCTCTCAATACCTTAGTCTGAACCTTTACCAAAATTCCCCATGATCATTTTTAAATGGTTGAGAAAGAACTGACATTTAAAAGCATGGGCTTTATCACCTATTCGTTTCCTTTCTCTTGTCATTCAGTAAAACGTCTGGTTGTTAGAAGATACCTGTAGGAACACAGATATTACCTTGCCAGGGGTTTGTCTTAGAGGGTGAGTTTAAAATAACAAAGACATCATAAGTTGGCTGAAGTCTGGCAGGAAAAGGAAAGACCCCAATCGAGGTTGCTGGCCTCGAGAAGGAGAGAAATAGTCAAGGACTGCTGCAAGAAGATTAACTAACAGTAGCAAGATAGAATTAAGAAAAAAAGAAAATACATTTGGCTCCTTTTCAAGAAAAAAAAATCCCACTCTTGATGTCTATTAGTCTTCTTATGAAAGGAATGAAGGCTATTACTTGTGTCTTCTAAAGGTAAGCAGAACAAATCACTAGAAAATATGCTTTAGGGAACAATCTTGCTCTGGCAGAGGATGATGAAATAAATTACTCCATGTTTCTTTCTTACTGTCTGCAATTCAAGGTAAACTGCCTCTATAGGAGATGTCAGGAGAAAAAAGGCATGTTGAAAGAGCCTAGTCTTTCTCTGGCCAGGTCTGCTAATTTGAGTGCGGCCTCAAACTTCACTGCTTGTCTGTTCTGCTGGAGACTACCACGGCCCCAGAATGGCTTTGGAAGCACTTTGCAGGTAATGACTAACCAGAGACCTACCGGGCTGACAGGCAGTTCGTAGCACAGAGGTTGCCTTGGCAAGGGGTCGTCTCCGGAGATGGACTACACAGGGCTTTCTCCCTAGTTTTTACTTCTGCACCTTCCAGCCATTCCTCCAGGTGTTGGAGGTGCCATGAACACGTGTCTCCTCAGCCTGTCTAAAACCTGGTTGCTTGTTTGGCATGAGGCTTTTTTAACACACTCAGCAGCTGGGCGGTTTGGACATATATGTTGCCTGGACTTCAAGCTGATGCATTTTTTTCCCTGCTTTGAAAATACATAGAGTTGACTTTATAGATTTGTGCATTTGATATGAACACGCTTTGCAAAAAGGACAAATGTTTTTAAATATTCATGGAAATGAAAATCTGATCCACAAATGTCCAGGAAAAAGCAAACAGAAAGTGGTAACTGGTGGTTTCCTTTTGCAGTCTCTCTGTTGAAGTTCGTGCCTGTGACGTATTTCTTTTTAATCCGAGATTTCCTTCAGAAACAGTGGTCCTAGTCCTGCTTTGCATAGAGTGGAAGAATAAATCTGCATGTGGTCAGAGCTGTTTAGTATTTCAGTAGAGTCCCATGGGGTTGCAGCAGTCCACCAGCATGCTCTACAGAGTGGGATGGGAAAAGAGAATTAATACAGTCCCCGGAGGGTGGCCCTCTTGTGACTTTTTGAATCAGGTAAAAGGAGGAAAGCTTGAAAAGAAAAGTGCAGTTAACTGAAAAGGCACAGGGACCTCTAAAAGCCTGCTGATGTGGCAAGAGCTTTGTCTCTTGGAAGCAGTCTAGAGAGATCTCAACACTGCTGCATAAATCCCAGGACGGCTCTGCATAATTCACATCAGAATTAATCCAGATCCATGTTTATGAAACCTGAAAAAATGTGACCCTGCTATTTATCATGACACTTACTGCTCTTTTTTTAATTATGTCAAAAGCCTCAGGCAGAATCGTCCCTTCCTTCTTGTCACAGCGCTGGCTACGACGCTAATAAGAAAAGATTGTGGGGTTTGGTTTGGTTTGGTTTCTTTTTTTAATAAGATAAATGCTTCTCCTCTGATTAGCATCTGACTGATTCTCTTAAGTGCCTCAAGGCAGGGCCTGAGGAGGGAATGCAAAGATGTGGGAGGGAAGGCCGTGCCACACATAAGTCATCACACAGACGAATGGGTGAAGAGGGGCCGGGAGAAGAGACGTGAGAAAACACGACGGCTGCCATAGATGGAGCAGGGGCAGGGGACCGACATGACGGGACATTACTGAATTAGTCGAGGAGAGCACGGCTTGCGAGACTTTGAAGATAAGAGCAAGGATTATGACTCAACATGGGGAAGGGAGTCATGGGAAAGATTCAAAGATGCGGGAGTTTTGGTCACAGGAAGGCCGGCATGCCGGTGAGCACACCACACCTGCCCTTCCCATTGGTACCTGCTCATGGGAGCCTTAGATACAGCCTAGTTTTGGGAGAGCTGGAAAAAAACTTGAGTATGAGCAGATTTATCGATTGCCCTTCCACAGAACAGCAGGCAATAGCATAAGTACAGCTGATGAATGGGACAACAAAACTTCCAAATTATTGCAAGGAAAGGCTGGGCCCCTTGGCTTTTCCATTCCTCAGAGCGTGTTTCAATTCTTATAAACGTAATTATTTTGAAAGATCGGCTTAGATCATCTGAGTAGTTTGCCAGAAAGATGTTTATGCAAGTTTTTTTTTTGTCGGCTTGATTGACTGACTGATTACAGGAGAGAGGTTGCAGAAGGCATCTCTTTTTACACAATTGCACTTCCCTTAAAAATGCAGCTACAGTTTTAACTTAAGCTTAGCTCCTTGCATACTTGAGCAGGACAGCAGGAAGGCAGCGCTCGCAGAGATTTTTATGAGGAGGGCATTGGTTTAAAGGAGGTTGTTTTTATTGTATTCCTGTTCATTTTAATCCGTAAGGAGCACAAATCCTCTTTGTCATTCACGGCAAGAGACAAGATGCTAAAACACACAACATCTCTCTTTAATCTCTTGGGAGTCACTAAGTTTAGAACAGGGAGTAAGAGACGTGGAGTCTCCACTCTGTTTTCTCCAAGAAAGAAACTAATTGTTCTGTTCTTGAACAGCACTTGGCTGGCTCATCAATCACTCCTCTGAAGACATATATTATAAATAAACTTTAAAATATCAAAAAGTGACGTATTAGAGTTGAGCTTTGCTGCCGTTCTGATTCCCCGAACTGGATGGACGCTCTCCCTCACCATATACTAATTTCTCCCAGTCCATCTTGCTGGTCACCCCACATTACAATCAAGGTCACACAACATCACAGCGTCGGAGTTGGCAAAAGCTGATTCAGCCCTTTACCCAGAGAAACCTCAATTCGCAATCAACGTCGAAAACCCACGGCAAAACAGGACCAAAATCAGACTGCCGGAGCTTCGCTCCGTGCATCGCTGCTTTCCGTGCATCTTGCCACCTACAGCAAAATGCGCTTACAAGCCCCGCGGCTGCCGGCGCGCCGAAGAAAGTCCGCTGCATCTCGCTCAGCCCGACCACACCGAGTCCGGCGCCGCCGGGGGCCGGGAGCCGGCTCCCGCCCCCCGCCCCGACGCGCGCCGGCCCCCCCCAG